CCCCCCCCCATGTTTGCTTGATGAGATGGTTTGAGAGGACACTGGTCTGTTAACAGTTGTGTATACACGTCAGTCCTGTCCTTTCTGTTATTCCTATATATGTTGTCTTGTGCTTACTTTTTAGCCTACTCTCGAACTCCATGCCCATAATTGTACATGTATCATTGTGCTATTAACGAAAGAAGCTGCTGTAATAAGACGATAGAAAAACCCTAAAATACAACAAAACAAAGACAACTTAACTCAGAAATCGCAACTTAAGCGGCATAAGTAGATACATTGCATAGGCCTACTCCATGCGGCGAAATGGAGAGAACTGAGACTTGACGTGCCGACGTATATGTACATGTGTTATGTTTTAGGTCTAGTTGTGGAGACAGAAACAGGTCAGGCATAACTCGTTACAGGCGTCTGTATGACAAATTGTGACTGATCGGAGCCATCCAAGTGGACTGAGGTCATGGGCAGGAACAACAGAGTAAACAAGTCTTGATACCGCAGACGATTGTCAAAATAATCAACATCCTGAGACAGAGCTTTAGTCTTAGTTGTGCTCTTGGGACTAATAGTTGTTTATGTTTACTTTTGGTCAAGATTGATTGACCATTGCCGTAGAATAACGTCTTGTCACCTCTCAAAGTCAAATAAGGATATAACTTCTGAGAAGTAGATCTAGATTAGTTATGACAGATTTTCTGGTAAGTTGGAAGCGAAATTTAATTCATAGTTCTAATTTTCTTACTGCAGAAAATCCCACTTTTCTTAAAACTGCTAAAGGTGGAGATAGGTCATTTTTTTTCACAAGGGCATAATTTTCTGTTGAGTACGCATGGTGTGCAGTTCTCAAAGGTTTCAATGGAGGAAAGTTATAGAGAAGGAAGAATGTATAATAGGCTTAATAATGGTTTGCTGAAAGCTCATTGAGCAAGCCTTTACCTTTTTGTAAGAATTTCACCGGTTAAGTAATTACCTGCGGTAAATAATGATCTTTTCTTGCCGTTTGAACACTTGACTGAAAGAAAACAGTTCAGTTTTTCTTTTCACATTGGGCTCGTTTCACGGAAGGTAAAATAGCTGCTCCCCAGCATTGATTTGCTCAGCGAATCGAACAATGGCTGCTCCCGCCAGGTAAACACAACTCTTCGTGAAAGCGCGACCAAACGACAGTGTCGTCCTTTATTATGAATAACGATGAATGCTACAACGCCACCCACATTCATGAAACATAAATCTAGGGCAGTCATGGTAAGCAATAGATTTAGGCCTAGTGTTTATTTTTAGAATCAAGAGAATAATGGGGTTCAGAGAACGCTGAGACTGCCATCCCCCACCGTCACCCCCTGTCTTTCCAATAGTGGCAGTAGACAGTAGTGTCAACCGTTTTCCCGTGTCGTGTTGGCACAACAGTCCTTAGGCTGGGCTTAGGCCCAGCCTGCCCTGCTATCTTCACTCGCTTTGATGACTGATGTGTAGGCTTATGTCGGGGTCGACTGATGTGCTCCCGGTTGATAATTGAACTTACCGTGTTCAAATAGATAACGAATTAAATGATGACTTGTGTTGAATAAGTGTGCCTGCCTCTCATTCCCCTTGAGTAGGTAGCGACAAATTCACCATTGAAAGTGAAAGTGGAAAATTTGAACTTGAAATCACTGTTTAGAATTCTAAGATTAGAGTCTAGATCTAGAATCTATATCTAGAATCTAGATCTAGATCTAGATCTAGATCTAGATCTAAATCTAGATCTAGATTGGATCTAGATTGTAGATCTCTTATATTATTATCATTGTTGTTATTATTATTAGATCTAAATCTAGGCCTATTGTTATTATAATAATAATTATTATTATAATTAGGCCTAGATCTATCATTATTATTATTATTATTATTATTATTATC